CGCTTTCTGTCCATGCATTCTGATTTCTTTTATATTTTTAATAGCAATAGAAATTCAGTCTTTGGATCTGATACTTCTGCCATAAATGCACTATTTGTTATTGCTTCTGAAATACCAAGCACGAAACTGGGAAAGGCTCGAAGTGCTCGGTGATGGCCCAGACCTTCTATACTGGCATCTCTTTATCTTGAAATTGAATGTCAAGTATTACTTGTTTTTTTTTAATTACAGCAGATTCAAAAGTTTAAAATTAAGAAATCCCTTGATTGTATTTTGTAATAGTACTTTTTTGTGTTGTTGCAACAACACGAACTAGAGTGGCCCACGTTTCCTCACTGACGAATAACTACAATGTCTAAGAAACATTCTTTCCAATGCATGAAGTTTGGTGTGATTTTCTTTCATAGATGTGACGTAAAAGTTACAAATCATCTGTGGAGAAAAGTATTTTGAGGTGCAAAAGTCAGGAAATGTTTGTATCCAGTTCCTAAAGGAGCAGGATCAATTTTTGTGTGGTAAATACACATCCTGTATAATATTGGTTACAAAACTGTCAACTCCTTATTTTCTTTTGTATTCACAAGTGTTAATCTGCAGTCAGCTGGATGAATGGAATGTTAGGGGAGTTTCTAGGTTAGAAGTTTAATTTTTCTTAAATGAAGACAAACTAGTGAGATTGAAGTTGGTGATACCCAGTTAATGCATGCCTCCTAGCTGTTGCTGTTGGAAATACTTTAATGATAGTGACTTTGTTACTTTCTTGTTTGTAACTTTTAAATCGCTGTTATACTGCACACTCACGAGATGAAAGATTTTGTCATGAACTATTTTTATTGATGAATGCTCTAAACTGTGCATTAAAAAGTTGCACACCACTAGTAAGCTTTTGTTATGGTATCTGTGCTTATGTCAAGAGAGCCTCTTTGTTAGGCCTGAGTGTCTGTTCGTTATATTACCTTTGAAAATAACTTCTTAAATATTATGCCTTATCCACACCCCAAAAAAGGAGAGGGGATGGGTGGGAGAAAGTTGTACCAAATTCAGTCATTTGCCGTTGTGTACTCTTATTTTTCCCACAATCATTGTTTTGGAAATACTGGTACGTGCAAGGAACTTCCCTAAAAGCCAGGTACAGGAAGACTGCTGAAAGGCAAAATGTTATGCATAAAAATTTTATACAAGTCCATGGTGGATTTGTGGCTTTTAAAGTAAAGAGATTGAGAGATGAGTATTCATCTGGTACAGGTGTATATCATCGCGTGTGCCTGTCTTGGTCCGCCTAGGACGTACGGGGGTACTTCCATGGTGATGCAGAAGTGTGGCGTTGTCTTCTGGTCTGGGTTTGAGATGCTTTGAGACCTGTAGAGGCTCCACAAATTGCAAGTTCCTGTCTCTTTCATTGAGGGTATATAAGTCTCCTCTGCTTTGAAAGCAGACCTTATTGGCACTGCTTGTTTGATTTGTCTGTAGGCTCATTGATTATATTATTATAATATTATTATTATTATTATTATTATATTGATTATACCATTATATTAAGACCTGCGGTTTACTCCTGCTCCCCACCTCAGTCCTTGACCTATGATGGTGTCATTTCCCTCAGCCATGTAGTTTACCTTTTTCTTAGATATTCGAAGTATTTCTACTCAAATTAGGGCATGCTAGTATTCTGAGAATGGAGCAGAATTTAGGGACTGTTTTCAGTGCATGCCGTTTTGCTGATACATGGATTTGTGCTACGGCAGGCAGTAGTTTAATCTTTTATTAAAATGCTAGTTAACTAGTTCTGGGGAGTGATTCATTTTAGGCGGTAATTCCAGACAGCAAACTGTCACAATGAGGAGCCTTATTTCTCCCTGTTTTCCAGTTGTGTGGAAAGTACTGCCCTGCATTCCCTGTCTAAAATGGACATTTTGGATTCATTTGGGTTGTTTTTTTTTTTACTCTTAAGAATTTCAGTTTAACACAATTTTAAATACCAAAGAATTTGAACCTGTATCTTTGAAAAGAATCACCTTGAAACAGGTTGTATTTGTTTTGATGGGAAGTATTTTCTGCTCCTTTTATTGAAGATACATTCCTTTATATCCAAGAGTACAAAATAAATGAACTTAGACAAAGAACATAAAATGCAGAGTCTTGCTACACCCCAGAGACTGAAAGAGGGTGCTTGGGATGTTCTAGACTGAACTGGTTCGTCTTGTATTTAAAACCCATCTACTCAGAAGTACACACGTTTTCTGCAGCCTAGCAACAGATGGGCACATCATATCAGCCCCCGTGGCATCTTGTTTGGTCTTTTTCTGCAAACAGGTGATGATTCTGTGTTCATGGAGGCAGACAAAGAATGTTTGTGCTCTGTGTGGGTTTCTAGGACAGCTACAACAAAGGACACGTTGGGTATGAAGAGTCCTCAGGGCAACCTCCCCCCGTCAGTGTGAGTCTCTCATGCCCAAACGCAGTGCCCATGGCTCTTCTTTTCTCAGAAGACTTGGTGGCCACCCCTTAATCCTCTGTTTTCTTCTCGTGTTCAGTTAATGGTTATATGGAGGGAATAGTCTTCTCTTCCAAGTACAATTCCAGAACAATTTTTTGATTTTCAAACATAACCATAAATTAAAACCTCCATCTTTTAGTACACAAAAAATTTCTTTCTTTGTTGTTAACAGATTGCTTGTAATTCTGCTCGGGGCCACGAGATGGCAAGCACGGATCCTTGAGTTTTAGCAAGCCATGAGGATGGGCCTGGGGACTGAGGGCTGTTCCAGGAGCCCCAACGAACAAGGCTTCTTTTGCTGCGGTGAAAATCCCTCCTCAAAATGTAATGCTAGCTGTAAGGGAACACAGCGCCGTAGAATTGCTCTGCTTAGCCTTACAGAAAGAGAGGTTCTGGGACAGAAAATGTTTTGCCAAATAAAAAAAAGCTGTTGCAGAATTTGATCCAAAGATGAAAACCAGAGAGTTTTCCACGCTACGGCAGGAGTTATTTTACGCTGTACTGTAACCATCTCATCCACGGGGTGGTGCGTTTAGAAGACTCGCTGGGATCTAGGTCATATAAGCACAGATGATGAAATTTTGAGCATGGTGAAGGCAAAGACGTTCAGCATAGCACACTAAAATGTGTGGAATGTGGGATTTTAAAACAGTTAAGTAATCCTGAAATAGCAAAGTAATTTTTTTGTCTTGCAAAAAGCGAACGTGGACCCTTTGCCAAGCTGCATAGTGCTTATTTTATGAGATAGTTCTGTGACTCACATTTTTCCATAGGAGCTAAAATTGTCCATTTCTGATCCAGATCCTATGGCATGACTTTCAAAACTGGGGGAGAGGAGGCTGAAGAGGGAAGGCTTTTATTAGCAATTTATCCACTGGAAATTACGGAAAGACAGTGATTTTTCTAAAATGAATCTTAAAAGTTAAATAAGTGTCTTTTCATTTGAGGACTGGCAAGTTATCAAATTACTTTGTCAAACATTTTAATTAAACTCACTCTAAAGATTAATAATTTCAGCATACTCACTGCACAAATACAGTTGCTGGGACCTACCATAAGTAGAAGTGCACCTGAAGGGGAGCAATGTCCCAGCTGATGTTTCCCACACAGAAAAAAAGCTGTCTAGGGCACCAAGTTTGTCTAAGAACACAGGCCCCGGATCTGATGACTGTAAGACTTAACTTTTTGTGGCTGTTTCCAGTTCTAGCAATTATTTTCCCGACTACATTTTGTTGGTATAAAGCTGGGGTTTTTTTACGGTCTTGTCTTTAAACTCTGTCAAGTCTGTAAATATACATGAAATACTCCTAAAGGCTAACTTCATGTTGCTTTGGCAAATATTCACACCTCACCTGCACCAATGAAGATACTGGAGTATACTGGTTTACCCTTCAGCTGGCATATTCTGTTCAGATAGAGCCTCTGGCCTAATCTTCTGCAGATTGTGGAGGGCTGGCTATAGAGTGCTGTTAGAGGCAACCAGATCTGGTGAAATAAACACCTGTGGGTGGGCTATAGAGTGATGGCAAGCAGCTTTAAAGTAGAAAGGGCTGATGACTTGGGAACACCCCTAGGTTCTAATTCAGAAAAACATTTGTCTGGAGTACTTCAGTACAGTCCCTTGTGTGAGTTCCTCAGGAGACTACTTCTGTGCTCAGTGTTTGGTGCCAAAGTTAGTTTTCTTCAGGACACAGGTCCAAAGACTGCAACTGTCTGAAAGAGTCTTGTAGTAATTTTTTTTTAAGCAGCTGTTTTGTCTAATTAACACCTCTGCTGTAAAGCATCTCATCTGAGCTGCTCTGCCTGCTCCTCTTCCACTGAATCCAGGGAAGGATTGAGTTTCTAATGGAATCTAAACAGAAGAATTGTCGTGTGTGCACAGAGAAGCTAAGAGGTGTTTCCAAGCCTTGACTTAATTGTATTGCTGTTGTTGCTTTCTGTTTCTTGAATTACCTCCCTGTACATCCCTTCTGACCTTACCAGATAAGTTCTGTGGCCTTATTTCAGTGTTTAAGCACCTGTGGTACCACCGCTTAGGTGCCAAGTTAAAATGTAATTTCTAGAAATACCAAGGTCTGCAGCCTTGAAAACATATTTACGAATAAGATATGATAAAAGGAACTTTGGTAACATTTCCTCCCCCCAAAGGCATATAAACATGTCTGAAAAACAAACAAACAAACTAATTTCTTGAGCATTCTAAAAAGGTTGTTGCTCAGCCAAGGAGACACCAGGACTGACAAGAAAAAGGGTACATCAGAAGCTGTACAACATCATTGGAAGGTGTAGAATGAAAAATCTGCACAAGTGAATATTTCTTTGTAGAAATAAATACTGAGATCGTTTGTATGAATAAATACTGAGACTGCTGATACAAGCCAGAAATTTT